TTTTTTTTTTAGGAAAAAATGACCCTTTGATTACTAATACAGAGTTCAGCCTCCTTAGTCACTATAAAACAGATTCCATGTTTTCACACCACTCATGGTCTTCAAGGTTATAGATAAATTTTGTCCTATGGGTCTGGCTGGCGGGCACAGGGTCCCTCCCCAGATTGTCTAGGGTCAGAGTAGAGGCAAAGAACTCACTGGTGCTCAGCCCGCCCTCGTGGTTTTTGATGTAGCGTTTATAGTTTTTCCTCAGGCACTGCCACGTGGTTGTGTAGAGGACGAAGGCAGAGGACTTGAGCACGATGGCGATGCTGACGTACAGGTATCTGTAGGCCACGTTGTCGTACAGGACGCAGGCGCCTTGCTCCCCGCAGAACGTGCTCCAGAAGAGGCAGGTGGAGTCGATGCCGGCCCCAAAGATGAGGGGAGGGGGGATGAAGCCTGCGAGAGGGGGAAAGAACACGGCACGCTTACCCTCGGGCTCTGCAGGCTGGCCTCTCCAGCCCACACGCGTGCACCGCCCTCCCCCCACAGGACCACGGGGCTGGCGTGTCCCACTGGGTGGCTCCACGGCACGGGCCGGGACAGCCCGGAGTCCGAACCCCAGCTCCGCCCAAACCTGCACGAGGTCTCTAAGCCCCCTGTGCCTTAGTTTCCTCATCTGCAAAATGGGGATAATATCACTTCTGCTCAGACTGCTGTGAAAACGGACTAAATGGACCCAGGAAAAGCATTTAGGACGGTGCCCGGCACACAGTAAACACAAAATAAATGACGTCTGCTACTACTGTCATCCGCTGAGAGTCTGAGAAGAGACAGAGAAGCTTCCCTGAAGGGACCGTTCTGCGTGTCAGAGAAGTACAACCACACAGAGGAAATGCAAGGAGGTATCGTGCTCTCTGTACGGGGCTTCTAAGGCTGTGTCCGAGTGGAGGGAGTTGGGAACAGAAGGGAACAGAAGTTGAAACGAGTGCATTTAACCTTTGTGTGTGTGTCTGTACACACACATGCATACATGCAGCCTCATACGTGTGCACGTGTTACGTACACAAGTATGTATAACACGCACACATGCATGTGTATGTGTGTATTGTTTAAGATGGAAACCATTTGCATACATGCTGACAACTTCCCTTCCCCTGGATGTTACCACTGGATTGAATCCTTTTCATTCTGAGCCGGGAACCCGTTTTCAAACCCTCACCCTAGAGTATTTCGGGCACTTTCAACCAGCGATCAAAAATGGCGGAGATGAAAACTCTCCTCAGTTCAATTCTGTGTTTCTGTCCCTTGTCCAAGCTCAAAAGTTATCAGTCCTGGCTGCACATTAAAATCATCCAAGGTGTTCCCTCCTAGAACAACTAGGTTAGAATGTCTGGTGTGTGGCCCGCTCATCAGCATTGTGAAGTCATCCCCTGGGGATTCTGGCCTGTTGGGGGGGGGCGGGGGGGGGAAACTGTTTCATCTGTGCAATGGGAAATCAGTGAATGGCTCATTAATACAGATTAATTACCTCAGAACAAAAAAGTACCCTTAAGGCCAGAATGTGGTGCAATCATATCCAGGGAGAGACCTTAGTGGCAGAGAGTGATCACCGGAAGCAGGTGGCAACAGTTCTGAGATCCCATTTCTGGGGTATCCTGCTATCTGGAATGTTCCTTCCAGGGCCAGCCCTGGAGCGTTTCACTTTTTATTAAGGAAGGTCCCTCTGAGAATTCGATGAGAGTTAGATCCTAAGTCCAGAAAATTACATCTACCCACAAGAATCACACCCATATTTCAGGTGGTTCATGAACCCCTGATGTCCATTCACGATCCCCAGAATTAAAACACGTGTGTCAAACATGCTGCAAACCCTCCTTTCGGAGGGGCCCCCTGAAGGCAGCCTGGGAGGGAAAAGGCTCACTGAGGGAGACCATGCTTCCTTCGTTTTAATGTCAGGCCTGGGATGGGCGTGTGGGAGGGGGAGGGGTGCTGCACTGTCCCATCAGTGCCAACAAGGTTGGGCCCAGGTGCCTTAGCACTTCCCAGCTCGGTCCCGGGTTAGCCCAGAAAGAAATTCCAGAGTAGGAATTTTAGTTGAAACCTCATTAAACTTCCCAAGCAGCTTGACTCTGTAAATCAACAACCTGCTCCCTCTTTGCAGCTTCCAGGTCTGCTTGGTCTGGCCGAATGGAAACTCCTAGAATCCCAGCATTGTCTGCCCTAAAGTCTGTCCATGAGTCTGAGGCCTTCCTCCCCAACCAGTGAGTGCTCTCCCAGCCCCTGCCCCCCACCCTGCAACAAATGCCCTGGTTCATGTAACAGAAAACGAGCCCACTGGACTAACCCAATGGAGCCAACCACGTAAGAGAAACTAAGTCACCCTCCACATTATTTAGGTAAAGAAATGGAGATTGGGAGCCACTTTAAATTGATAGACTCGGGGAAAATGGGACAAATCTGGCTGTTTCTATGGTCTCATGGGATCACTTGCTTCCATTCACCTATTTCTCTGGGTTTTATGAGGTTGCGATAGCCCCCAAATGTTCCTCCCTCTTCTTCCTTCTGCCTTTCTTGAGGTCACTTTGTCCTAGCTCACCTGTCACGGCACAGTGGGGAGTGGCCTGTGAGGACACTGTCAACAGCTCTACCGTGGGAAGGGACTGACAGCACACGGGCTCTTTGCTCCCAGTGCAGAGGGACTGGAAGAGTTGCAGACAAATCCACATTGGGCAAATGTGGTCATATTTTAAGCACATCAGAGGAAATTTACAATATAAAGGAGCCATTCCTTAATACTTGCTTGAACCAAAATATCCCTCTAAAATGCCAAGATGTAACTCCTTCATGAATCTGTATCTGTGTGAGGGTTTCCAAAATACTGTGTTATCTTTAAAGTAGGGCATACTTCTTTGTGCTAACGGTGTCGGTTTTATCCTGCCTACTGTCAGGCTCCATTACCAGATGACACAGCCTGGAAGGAGTCAGAAAAAGCCTTCAAACAGAAATTAGAAAGCTAAGTGCCTAGAAAAGCTATTCATATTTTGGAGAGCCTTTGTGCTGGAGAAGAAAAGAACCTTGAACTTGTGTCGAAAGCCTTAGGATTGGGGCAAGTCGCTTGATCTCTTGGTGACTCAGTTTCTTGCTCTTTAAAATGGAGCTAATACTGCCCACCTGGCCAGGGTCAAGATGAGCCCTGCTATAAATGAGGTGTTATGCACAAGTCTGGTCCTTCCCTAGGGCCCACAGGTTTTGTTAACTTATTCATGGTATACAGGGGGTTGGGGGACTAATTTAGAATAAACTCTGGGTTTAATACTTTAAGCATAACCTTTATAAGTTTCCCTTTATATTTATAAAAAAACAAACTGGCTTTCCCACCAGATTCATCTTTATATTGGCTTAAAATTGTTCCCCAAAGGGGAGCTCTGGCTATCAGGTGTGCAAAGAATACCAGAGAAGAACTGACTGGATCTCTTTTTTTAAAGGTCATTCTAGAACTCACCTGATGGCTAATGCTCCCATGCAGCCACCCATCCATCATTCTGTTTATCACTCTGGTGGGCCAAATAAAATCTCAGACTGTCCCTGCAAGATACTGCCTCCCCAGTCACCAATGGAGACTCCCACAAGAGTGCTATAATAATGGTGGAAATTAATGATGGGAAACTGCTCTAACACAGACTAGAGAGGACAGACGGGGGAGCCATAGAGCAAGAACAAGTGTCAATTACAGACCCTAACAGGGAAAGATGTAGGTTGCATCTCCTACAGGAAATCAACTACCCCAGCAACTCAGCCAGGAAGAAGCTGTCATCACGCTGAACTCTTGCTTTTCTCCAATGGATTTTCATTCAGAACAACCCCTCTCGACTTCCTCCTCCATAAAGTAACCTTCCTCTCCTTTACGATAGGACTTGTCTACGGTTTTGCTATACCCTGCGTGCCCTGAGTTGCAATTCTGCTTCCAAATAAACCCATGTTTTGCTGGTAAAATAATGGGCTTTTAGGTTTTAGAGAGCAGGGGAGAAGGGCAGAGGGAGAGAGAGACTCTCAAGTAGGTTCCATGCTCAGTGCAGAGCCTGACATGGAGCTTGATCCCACCATCCTGGGATCATGGCTTGAGCCAAAATCAAGTCAGACGCTCAACTGACTGAGCCATCTAGGTGCCTCAATGGACTTTTATTTTTAAGGTTACCATTATTTGGTGATGAGAGGTGGGATCCAGAGAAGACCTGCGGCAGCTCGGGAGCTGGTGAGCAACCAGGGCAGGTGCCCACGGAGTTCAGTGAGCTGCCTTCCTGTTGACCTTGGAGTTTCGATGGTCAGTTTGTCTCTTGGATTTCAAGCTCCGCTCTGTGTTTTGAGCTCCCCAGACTTTATTTGAGATCTGTTTTAAGGCTTTGTTCTTTCTGAGAGTACTCGTTTGGCCTTTGGTAAAGTATCCTGATTCCTTCTGGAACCAGGTCGCTCCTGTTGAAAATTTTTCCTCTACAGAATAAACCTCTAAGAAAGGGGGCCCCAGCTGTCAAACTGCTTTAGAGGGTGCCCTCCCCTCTTCTGCGAGCCCAGCTGGTTTTAGGTTTCAAATCCCGTGGTCCCTCTTCATGTGCATTTCTAACTAAGCGGGACCACTTAACAAAAAGTAATGTGGATCTTCAGTGGGGAACATTCCATCCTCCTAAATTGACTCTTCTCAAAACTGAATTGGACAGGCCTGGTTCTAAAACTGTCAACAGAACGGGGCACCTGTATTGACTGGTATTGTAAAGCTTCCAAACATCATCAGGAATCTGGAATGTAGCTGAGGCAAACAAACAAAAAAAGGGCTGCTGAGGCCACTTTTCCCCTTCTCTGTCCCCTTTGTCTCACAGCCTCTGGGCTTGGTTCCCACCTCTGGCTCCATTTTCCTTTATCCCCTGCACTGCCTCCTTACTTCCGTATGTTCCCTCAGGCTAATCCTTTCACTGAACTTGCCTTTTCCTCTGAAGGAACCTTCCCCTCCTCTCCTGGACCTATTAATATGTGTCTCTCTGAGGATCCAAATGAACCCCACATTGCCTTTGTTCCCTGGAACAAAGCCAAATTGTGAGCCATAAAGAGTTTTCTAAAGTGGCCGAGGACTCCCGTAAGGTTTGCTGAAGAATTTCACAGTTATTCCAACTGACCAACCCGGTTTCTCAGATTTATAGTAGTCCAGGTGCTTGTTGGGGAGGGCCAGGCCAAACACTGGATGAAACTAGCCCATTGGGACCACCCTGAGGGGGGATTTAGGGAAACAGACCCCTAATTTTTGGCAGGATGCTAGAATGCTGTACCCACCAATGATGGTAGCTTTTACTTAAGCCTGTTGATTGGAACAAAATTTAGGCTTGCACACAAAAGCCTGGTGAACCTGTTCATGACTATTACAATCAACTCCAAATTGTCTTTAAAGAAAATTCTGGTCTTCCTTTAGA